CACAAAGGTATTAATACACACAAAATAACTTAAACATACAACCTATGAGGCTTTAGGATCACTCCTCTACCCTTATCCCTCATATATGGCAAGGAATCGATAATCTCACTCCCCTTATCTGGAGTGATGATTCTCGTGGAACAATGCTTCTTCAATAGCTCCTACCACTAATTAGTGTCTTCCTCGACTGTCTCCTCTAACTCTTCTCTTGCGAGTTTTCTAGATTTTTCAGAATGAGTGTAAAATGACCTAACTCCCTTTCTATTTCCTTTTTTGAATTAATCTCTACGTTAGGGGTAGAGTCTAACCCAAAATCTTTTGATTAGCTCTCCCCATTTTATTTTTAGTAATAAATATTCTTCTTATATTTTCTAATTATTTTAATTCAATTATTATTTATAAAAAAATAGGATGTTATAGCGAACAAAAAAAATTTATGAAAACACTTATATTCATCCAATAACAATAGAAACCCTAATTGATAGATATAACTGTGACACCCTCTAACCCGAATACCATAACACAAAAATAATAAAATTTTAATAACATAATCTTTCATTATTAAAAAAACAAATATGTTCAGATAAGAGCACTACATCTATAACTTAAACAAATAACATAATCAGCGGAAATTACAAAAGAAATAGGACTAAGGTTTTCAAAATAATTTAATAAAAATAATATCCTAATCTAATCCTATCTATGCCCCGATATCACATGTCCTATCAGCCCAACATTGAAGCCTAAGCTTCATCACCAACAATCCTCATCCTCATGCTGATGATCACCTGTATAATAACCAAAGGAAAACAACACAAAAGAAAAGGGAGTGAGAAACATCTCACTCTGGCTCACAATGTAGGAATACACACTGGATAGCCAAATACAAACAAACATGTATATGTACATGATATAGATAGATTAACAACAATCATTCCATTCATCAGAGACATAAAGAAATCATTTTAATATATAACATTAAAATGCACATGCAATGGACACAGACTACATATTATCATGCATGTGGTGCCAGTAACACATATCACATGATGTATTAGCGCTAGCAATACACGAGAGTAGTCTAGGAGTACATGCCGGGTCACACCCTCTGCGCACTCTCACTAAAAGGAGATACTACCAGGGTCTTGTCAGGATAGCTAAGCCGGGCAAGATACATCCCATGCACACAATGGGTGAGATTGGGACTTCCAAACCAAGCTATCCCCAAGGACTAATCTCCAAGCTTTTACACAAGAGGGCCTTCCCTGACAGTGTATTCCATATCGTACCCTTAAAAACATTTATGCAAATGATGCATGTCAATCAAGACTCTATGCATTCTCATATCACATTATCATGTCTCATTATCACATAACATTATCATGCCTCATTGTCATATAACATTATCATATATCCTCATATCTCATGTCTCATATTCACATTTCACATTATCTCATCATATTCGCATAGTCTCCATAGAGTACTTTAATTCATATCAAAACTTGTCTATTTGTGAAATTAAACACATATTCGTACATCTCATCTAACAAGGAATACAACAGAACAATCAAACAGTAAAATAGAAAACATTCATATTTTACCTATTTCTCATAGGGTTCTCCCAGGAACTCACAGAGCACCTTAATTCATATAATAAACATTTAACACAGTACAATTTACTCATATAATTGCCTCTTCAAACAATCTCCTCTTACAATCACCAATACATTCCCTAAGGTTTCCCATAGGAACCCATAGGAACACCAAAGTCTGCAATTATAATCCAAACAAAATACTACTCATACATACATACTAATTACATCAATTAGAACATTCAGGGAGAAACAGGGATGAAACAAATACAATTAGGAAAAACCCCTCATACATGAGCACACAACAAACATAGGATTTGGGGTCAATCCCACTACCCAACATACATTCCAACACCCAGAGCGAGGTTTCTCAATCCCCCCTTACCTGGGTAAGCAGAAGATGAAGCTAGAGCAGAATCTAGTTGATCTCCTTCTCTTGGTTCTCCTTGGTCTTCAGAGAGTGTGTCAAGAAATAGTGCCAGAGTTTGTTATTTATAGATGTCAAGAGTGGCCAGAACGACTCGTTTCGAACGTGGATCGGCCCGTTCTGGATTCCTTCATCATGTGTAAAATTCACATCTAGAACGGCGCATTCTTAAACCAAAACGGCCCGTTTTGGGGTTGCGTTTTAACAAATAAGGCCATGTTTGGAACGACCCGTTCTTAAATCAGAACGACCCATTCCCAACTAGGATTATAGGTCTTTTTAGTAGTTTGGAACGACCCGTTCCAGTTTGGGAGCATCCCATTCTAGGCTACTAAATCATCCTTATTGGGCTTTGAGCCTTCGTATAATCTGTGAAAATCGGAGTGTTACAATAACCTTACCCCTCAAACAAGTTAATTCTGCACACCAAATCAGTCATGAAATTTCAAACATAGCCATAATACATAGCTAGCATCTGAATTAAACAATTTCCATAGGCATTAAAAAAATTTCAATCAATAATCTATGAGACTTAGGGATCGTTTCACTACCATTACCCTTCACATGCGCCCATGAAAGAGATATTCTCATTTTCCCCTTACCTCTAGTGAAAACTTTTGAGACACTAGTGCTCACTCTTCAATTGTCTTTGACTCCACGTGTTCTTTGGCATCTCCCTCTAGGATTTCCTCTGCAGAAATTCTTTAGGTATAGAATAGACGTGTAAAATCCTAACCTTTTTCTTTCTTTTTTATTTTTGTTTAGTCTTCGGGTTAGGCACTAGAGTTTAACCTAAGACTCCTTTCATAATTCACTACCTATTTTTTTCTTTAATAAACACAATTTTATTTATTTTATAAACTTAATTAATTAAATTAACTAAGTCCATAATTTTTTTTAGTTGAACAACATTTTTTTTGAAAAGCAGGATGTTACATTAGCCCAATTGGTGGGAGATCCTAATTATACAAAAAAAATAAAACTAAAATACTAAATTTTTAATCAAAACAAAACAAAATATCAAAATACCAAAATATGTTAAAATTACAATATACATTAAGATGTTATTATCTGTAAGATAAATGTATATTAAAGATTTATATTTTTTGTAAGTTTAAAAATTTATATTTGGTAAAATGTATTCTTAATAATTACTTATATAGACAATCAAACTTAAATTCGTTATTGATCTTATAATTTTGTAAATTTGTAATTTTGATTCTAATTTTTTTTATTACATATTAATTTACTACGTCCTCCTAATTTTTCAACATTAAAAAATATTGCTTTAAGCTTAATATATCATTAAAAATTAAACAGAAAATGTTGACATATTTATGAGTTACACTATATGATAATAACTTAGTCAAGTTAGTTTTCATGTAAGGAATAAATTATATTGTACTATACAAATGTAATCTTTCTTCTTAATTTCAATTAAATTTTTATTATTAATAAAATAATTTTATCTTTATTTTTAAAACCACTATTTTCCTTTGTGCCTAACTAATGAACATTCGTTAACATTTTTTTTTAATTTTGAATATTATGTTAATGGTTGACCAACACTGTTTAATTTTTAAAAAGAAATCAAATTTATAAAAAAAAATCTAAAAAATAATTTTATCGTCAATTTATATAAAAAGGTATGGTAAAAAAATCAATTAATGAATACAAAATTCTTCTACTAACAATTAATTTTTATCTTCAAAATATGATTTTCTTTGTTATTGAAAAAAATATTAAATATCAAACAAAAACCAATAAAAAAATTACATGTAATAAAAGAAATTATAGAACATATTTACAAACATAGATTAATATTTTACAAAAGAAATAAATTCTTAAATTCAAAATAAACACATCTTGATTTTATAAAGAGAGATGGTTAAAACAATTAATAAATGAATCAAAATATCTTTTATTAACAATTAAATTTTATCTTCAAAACATGATTTTCTTAAAAAAATCTTATACAAAGAATTATTACTAAAAGCAATTATTTCTTATATTCAATTTGGAAAGAGAGATAGTAAAATATTTAATAAATGAACTAAAATATCTAAAAGTAATTAACATTTTTTTGGTACATGAAAGCAATTAACTTTTATCTTTAAAATAAGATTTTCTTTCTAAGTTTTATCTTTAAAATATGATTTTCTTGGTATTATAGACTAAAATATTAAATATCAAATCAAAACAAGACAAAATGGCAATATACAATTAAAACAAATAATTTAAAACTTACATTTTCAAATATAAGTTAAACTAGATTATTATTTTACAAATAATTATCATTTTAAGATATTTAGTACACTTTAAAATATTTAAGATTTTAATCTATCATTTAATAAATATTTAAAACGTATTTAAAAAGTGTTTAAACAATAGTCACTTTTTATTTCTTAGTCTGGTATATATATGTGTTTCAACATGAATCATAATATTCTCAATAGAAAAGGAAGATAACTTTCATAAAGAAAAAGAGAAGAAAGATTAAGCACAAGAATATAAGATGTGTGCAAAATATTTGCTTACTTTTTTCTTGTCAGTTTGGATTGCAGAAGCACAAGATAAGATTTTCAAAGTAACAGACTATGGTGCAGTTGCAGATGGCAAGAAAGATAATAGTGTGGTGATCCCCCTTTCCCTCCCCTTCTCTTTTTTTTTTTTTTTTTTTTAATTATCTTTTTTCTTACATGGAAATAATATTGTGAGAAATTATTGTCATAATAACATTATTCTTTAATTTTATTGAGCTAACTAATGTGCTGATGTTTCATGAAAGGAATTTTTGAAAGCATGGAGTGATGCATGCAAGTGGAATGGACCTGCAACAGTTTTGTTACCCCCCCTTCCCCCCCCTTCTTTTTTTTTTTTTTTTTTTTTTTAATTATCTTTTTTCTTACATGGAAATAATATTGTGAGAAATTATTGTCATAATAACATTATTCTTTAATTTTATTGAGCTAACTAATGTGCTGATGTTTCATGAAAGGAATTTTTGAAAGCATGGAGTGATGCATGCAAGTGGAATGGACCTGCAACAGTTTTGATCCCAAAAGGAACCTTCTTGCTTAGATCAGTTATATTTAACGGTCCATGCAAGAGTTCGACAACATTCCAAATTCAAGGTGATCTGTTAGCTCCAATTGATCCATCTTTGCTCACTGATCAAAAATGGATAAATTTTAGATATATCAACCAACTCACTGTGAATGGAGGTGGCACATTGAATGGTCAAGGAACTGCCACTCGTCAAAAATGCAACAATGATCCAAAATGTCAAATTCTATTTACGGTATATTCTTTGTGTTTCCTTTTTTTTATTCATGAACCCATCCCTTAGACAAAGATTGATAAAAAAAAATAAAAAAAATATATATATCCTTATGCATCACATCTATGCATTTTGTAACTTACAGTAACATCTTGTTTGGTGGGAATATTTGATCAGACTATGGATTTTGACTTCATCACCAACGGTATTGTTCAAAACGTGCATTCAGTTGATAGTAAAGGTGGCCATTTCATAGTGTTCGGAAGTGGGAACTTCACCTTCACAGATGTAACCATATCAGCCCCTGCTAACAATCGTAACACAGATGGAATCAAAATATCTCACACAAAAGGGGTAAATATCACAAATGTGCACATTGGCACTGGTGATGATTGTGTTGCTATGATTGCTGGCACCAAGAACGTTCATATTGAAAAAGTCTTTTGTGGTCCTGGTCATGGAATTAGTGTAGGAAGCCTTGGTTTGAATGATGGAGCAGAAGTTGTGGAAGATATAACTGTCAAGAATTGCACCTTTGATGGAACTTTTACTGGTGTTCAAATCAAAACATGGGCTGCTCCATTGAAAAAAACTCAATTCGCCTCAAATTTCTTCTATCAAGACATTATCATGAATAATGTGCGACGTCCCATTGTCATTGACCAATTTTATTGTCCAGAAAGAAATTGCAACCCTAAGGTTAGTGCTCCTAATTAGTTCACATTTTTAATATTAATAACCTTTCGACATAATTAACTTCTTTTTATTTCTACCAATTTTATTAATTGTGAATTATTTATTATTAAATTAAAACAATAATTAACTTCTTTTTACTTCAAATGAATTCACATTTTTCTCGTATTGGCATAATTTATTTATTTTCTTCTATTCAGTTGGTTCTCCCATTTCGCAAAAGATATTTTACGTGTCAAAATCATAAGCGATATATTGATAGTTGTATTAGTTGCTATTGGATTATTTAACACAACCACATATAGTAGCACAATTAAAAATTAATATTTGATGTTTAGAAACTCACCTATAATTATTAATTTGTCGCAGGAAAATTCTCACGTGCAAATTAGCAATGTGACATACATAAACATTCAAGGGAATAGTGCTTCTGATTTTGCAGTCAATTTTAACTGTAGTAGAGATCTCCGATGTCAAAAAATAACGGTGGAGGACATCAATTTTACAAGTTTTGGTGGTGGAAAGCAAAAACAACTAACAAACTTTTGTTCTCATGTCAATGGTGTTTCTCATGGAAAACAAATTCCCCCATCATGCCTCCCTCAAAAGTGAAACACCTTTTTCAGCATAACATAATGAAAAAATAAGTTACAAATTGTTTGTATCACGTAAGTGGAAATCTCCTTTTATTTTTATTCTAAAGAAGGTTAATGTTACATGAATAAATTTATATATGTTTGCATTAAGTTTTCTATATGATATTTATAACATATATCATCAATAATTTATTTACGACTTATACAAAGTAAATGATTTTAAAGAGGGTCTTGACTTACATGGAAGAAGAAAAAAAAATGTCAGTTAAAATTTTAATTTTTATAGTTAAAAACTGTCATAAATTATAATTCTACCATTTAAAATACCACAAGATTTGTGGTGCTAAAAATATTTGTCACTAAAATATATATATATA